CTTTACTTTCTGATGAGAAGCACAGGAACTTTTACCCATATTCGAGCGAAACACACTTATGAACGTAGCAGCTTTCCTTCAAGTGAAATGAGATAGAAATAAACATGAGGTCAGGATTCTGCCCTTAAAAGAGAGATTGAAAACAGTAGCAGATAGTTCATTGTAAAGTGTATATTTTCAAAGTCAGTATTCTATATAAGCCAGAGAAGTCTGTTTGATCTTTCAGTCGGGTCAAAATTGCGTCAAAGAACGAAGTTTCTTGATGAACATCGGTCTGGTCGATCACAAGCCATTATTTCACTGGCGTTCGATTGAATTTCAGTTTAATGCCATTCGATTTTCAATATAAAGTTTAATTTTTACTCTCTATATAGAAATTCTTATCAACATCAAATTTAACCGATAACAATAACGTGATTAAAAACAACATCCAACGCTTACTGAAATCTAAAATAGTGCGAGTTTCAAAAATCAGTAAACCGGATGTGGTAAGACAGACAAAATATGAGAGATGTTTACAGTTATAATTATTTATAAATTATAGACGTCGCCGTTTACAAAACAGATCGAGAGAGGAAACGATCTGTAGTATACCGTTAAAACTCACAGTGGCGAAACTTTTTTCTTTTAAGAAGGCTGCGTACCAGAGGTGCGATCGATACCAGTATGAATTATAACGCCAACCGGTATACCGCCCTTAGTATGAAGTATAATCAGTCGGTCGATATTGCTGGTATTTTGCGGTATGATAAGATTTTTCGGAAAACATCGTGTAAATTCAGTTCATCTGTGACATATTTCTTCCACTAAAATTTTATTCCAATTACTTAAACTTAGTCGGGTTATATAAACTTCTTAATTTAAAAAGTTGAATTGGATTGCTGTTTTCGTTAAAAAAGAGCGTGTGAAAAATCAGCTATACATGAAAAATGCAGGTAACGCACAGACATTTTTTAAAGTTCGAACGAATGTATCTCGAGAACGGTAAGAGAGAGAGACTTCAAATTTTTAACAAATATGTAGGTAAACAAACTCTATAATGCTTAAATCTTACAGCCTCAACCGTCTGCCTGTTTGGATTTTTTAAGTAAAATACTGGTCGGTAACGCACAGACAAAAAAGACCCTCTTCTCTCGATAGATGTGATAAATCCTGCGAACTACTCCATGTTCATGAATTGCACAAGAGAGGTTTTTTCTAACTGATCAGGGCTGTCTTTTGTTGAAAAGAAAACATTGATACCTTGAAACACGATTGACTTATTAACAAAACATCAGGTAACGCACAGACACGAATTTCAAAAAGAAATTCCTAAATCTAAAATATTATTTCGTATTTGGAAATATCACTTCAGAATATCAACATAATGATGTTCATTTGTATTTCAAGCAGCTAGCCCACTTCAAAACATACCCGAGTCAATCGGATTCCAACGAACTTCTATCACCGTCGGTGAACTCATCCATATTTTCTTCACGGACTTTAACTTCGAGTTATGTTGGTGAAAATTCACAGCAATCGCTGACAAAAAAAGTGTCGAAAACAGCGGTCTCCACTAATGATCCAATAACAGACGATGTTGTGGAGGGAAGTGGTGCTGGTGGTGATGAAGTTGAGCAAGAACAACTGATCCAGCCCGAAACCAGTGATGTCGCTGCCAGTGAAGAACTAGTGCCACAGGAACGCATCTCTCCACACTCACAACCAGTTTTTGAAGAAGATGTTGTGTGCATCGAAGAATCATCGACTGCTCCGATCATCGACCAAAAACCATTCGTTCAATTAGTATTATCGAATAAACCTCGTCTTTATACAAACGAGCAATTGGACGATTTATTGAATGCTGTTGTATTAGCTAAAGCCATGAATTCGGTGATGAATGGCGCCGTCTTATTGCCGTTTAAATATCTGATTCCAAGTGACGATATGAAACCCCCAATACCATCATCCATCAATGACCATTCACCTCCACCAACACTAC